AATTTATAAATCTCACTAAAACATCTTCTTTACTAAAATTTAATCAGATTTAAGTAAAGCTTCAGTTAATTTTAACTGAGTTTTAACTGAGCCTTGTTAAGCTTATTAAAGAATTAGTTAAAGCTTAACTCTATGAGATGTTTTATAAGTATGCACTTAGTTCTAACTTGCTTATACTCTTAGCTATATCTAGCTAGTTCTAATCTTTAACCTATAGTCTACAGAGGTTATATACAGAGACTTCAAATCATGTGCTCTTCACTTTTCATAGGTATTTTTCCTATCATATCTAGGCAAAATTTGGTGAAGATGGTGTGAGATGATATTTAATATAGCAGAAAGAAAATCAAAATTAATAGAGACTTCAAAGAGCTCAAATATATTTTTTTTAATAATGAGTTAATCAAAGCTTTTGAAAATTATTTAAATTATTTTGATCTAATCAATTTTTTATTTATTTAATTTTCATACTCTTTAGATTAAGTATTATTAGTTAATGATGAAAATTATTGATGAATATTCACTTTTCAAGAAAAGTATGTTTTCAATAATCAACTCTTCAAATCTTGTCTGAATAGTATGAAAATTGAAAAAACTGATCAATTTCAGTAATAGCTTTCAAATGAAAGCATTTTTAATTCAAAATTCTAAAAATTAGCTAAGTTTTGAAAAAGACGTTATCAAGATATAGAGTAAAAATAAATGAGAAGTTGAGAATATTCTAGTGAGCTATATCTATCATAAAAAGCTTCAATATCAGATAAAATAAATAGAATTTAATAATGATTCAAGATGATATTTAACATAAAATATAAAAGAATTATTTTATTTGATTTAAGAATTTTTTACTATAAATTTAATAAAAGAAAAATTTTTAAAATGAATAAGTACATAACTGAAGATTTGAAAAAAGAATAACTATCTAACAGAAAAAGCAGATGATAATCTGCTGATATGAAAGTATATAAAAACTAAAAAGAAGATAATATAATAGTATAGAATAAGCTCTGTTTAAAATTCTTAAAAGCATAACATCACTGAATTAAAATTAATTAATAATTGCAATTGTTCAGTAATAGTATAGCAATCAATCTTATAATTACTCTGCAAATAAATAATCTATTAATGTAAGAACTGTCTAGCAATAGTACTAAGAAAAGAAGTAACTGCACTAAGAAAAAAATATATAAATAAAGTTTTTTTTAAATTTATTTTTTAAAAATTATTTTTATATTTTATTCAAATAACTTATCCAGCTGGCAATTAAATATCAATTTCATCTATATCTAGATTGAAATTATAATAGTTTTCTTTATAATACTTATAATATTTATACTTCTACTCTTTTATAATACTAATTATATTACTTTTTATAGTTTTTTTTTTGATATTTAATTTATTTATTTCAAATATTTTTACAAAATTTGAATTTGATTTAATTTAATACTTTATATCTTATATATAATTTTTTATCATAAGTAATATCAAAAAAATTATTATATATATTGAATATATTATAAATATTATAAATTTTATAATCATTAAGTTGAAAACTATCATTTTTATTTATATTTATCTGAGCTCTATCACTATTAAACTGTTGAATAAACTCCGGTCTCTGAATATTATTTCAATAATAATGACTTTGATTTTAATATAATGTGATAGAAGATTTATAATAATCTAGTAAATGATGATTAAAATGATTAGTTTACTAATAAGTTTGATAAATTTTTATTTTATTTTTTTCTTACTTCTAACATAACTCAGTTACTTGTAAGCAAGTATTCTTTTAAATCAAAGTATAATATTAAAGTATAGCTGCTTATAATATAAATTAAAGTTAATCTATTTTCATTCTGCTTTAAAAGATATATTCATTTTAATTTTTAATAATTTCTTTATATTCAATTACTTATTTATTTTATATTTTAATTTTTAATTTAATATCATTAGTTAGATAATGAATTGAAGCTTTTATATTATTTATCTTATTTTTAAATTAAACTATAATAAGAAGATACTGAAGTAATTATTTAAATATTGATGCAAAGTAAATATAGTCAAATTCAAATTACAAGATTTATACTGACTGTTTTAATAGAAAATTCAGTGAATTCAGTATCAGAATTACTATAAAGAACTTTATTTCTCTTTTTATAAAAAAAATAAAATTAATTATTTTAACTCTACTATTAAATCAAACAATCTTTTATTTTCTTAAATATATTAATTTATATATAATCTATAATATGTTCAGTTAATATTTAATAGCTAGTAGTATTTCAATTTGCAATTGTTTCAAAATTCACTATTCACAGAGTTTTAAGATAGTAGAGAGTAAAATTGTTGAGTGGCAGAAATCATTAAGAGATCAGTCACATTAGATGATTGATTATGTTAGTTATTATTTAGTTTAATTAGTAAGAGTGCCAGTGAGTGGATACAACATTTCTAGTTAATTTTTACTCGTTCATTTATATATTTTTAAAAAGAAGATGGGATAAAGTTGAATAGCGCGTTTCTTCTATTCCAGCTTTCGAGCGACAAATCTTTCTTTTAAGCCTTTTCCCCCCATCCATCCTTCAGAAACTAGTAGATCTAATTTTTCCCTTACCGATGCATAACTACCCTGTGGATATACTTCCGTTATTCAGATAAGGGAAAACGGCTCCCTTATGCGCGACTCGTGGGAGGACATGAGAACTGAACATATTTACATAGAAGACCTCAAGCAATTCATGGCTGGATCTTCCTCTCAGCTTCCCTAAATGCCTTGATATCAGACTTTTTCACCAACCTGAACCCACCAGCCAAGAAGATAAATGACTGAAGGCCCATGATCGCAGCCAAGGCCACCATTGCACCAACAACACCAGCCACCGCCGTCGACATGCCGTTTCTTTTACCCGCACCAGTCGATGCTCTAGCTGTACCATCGGTTCCATCGCTTCCACCATCACAGCGCTCAGGGGTCTCGCTGCACGCTTCGCAGAACTCCTTCTCGGTAGAAATAGCAATCTTCTCCATGTTCGACTCGAATTCGGACCACGGCATGAGCGTGTCCGATTGGCCAAAGAGTGAGTATGCAACTGGCATGGTCTCGGGAGCACCGGGAATTACGCTGCCGCTGCGGAAAAGGAACCGGACGCTGATGTCAGATTGGTTCGGGAAAGGAGACGACGAGGAGGTGGAGGCATTGGTCACCAGCTCGAATGCCATGCTGGACGCGTAGTCGGGGATCTTCATAAAATTAGGGTTGGTCTCTGAGAGCTTCGACAAGCCGAAGAAAGAGAGGAAAATGGCGTAGGCACCAAACTGGACGTTGAGTTTTGTCTTGGAGCCACCTGTGGAGATCACCTCCCTTAGACCGGAGAGGACTTCGCCGGCCAGGGTTGAACCACTGACTGCCCGGATGGGGGAGGAGGCATTGTACGCAAGGTTGAATTCATGCACATCCGCCAGCTCCCGCAGACGATCAAAGTTTTCTTGGGAGGGCAGCTTATCGGCTGGGAGAGAGTCGGTGGAATTGTGGATCATGGCGACGTTGAGAAGATCCCATATAATATATGCGTCCTTGTAGCTGACTTTGGACGCCGGGAGCGTTCGCTCCACCATGGGTGCGATGGATTTATAGAAATCGTTCGTCGAGCTGAGGAGTTCTTCGTAGGGTTTTGATGTAAAGTATTCGTTGCTGCTCACCTTGGCCTTCTGGCACTTGCTTGCGCTCTGCAGCCAGGCAAGATTCTCGCTATTCCCACCCGTGGACACCTGTTCAATGGCTACGAGCTGGTATCCGTTCAAGGGCGCCTCGACCACTGTCCCGTTGCGCAGCGTGGACTTTGCGATACCGCCCACTGGGGGGTAAAGCGCCTGCAGGAAAGCAATGGCTGATTTCTGCAGCACTTCATCTTCGGGTGCAGATGCGACGACCTCCTTTGGTTTTACAATGTCCGAACTTATGTTGAGAATCCGCAAGTCAGAGGTGGGGGAGATGTAGCGGTCATGATAGTAGGCGCCTGTAGTGAACACCTGCTCATAGCCCAAAGTGGTCAGTTCGGTAGGCGGGGTAGATTTGGCAGTGCGGTCTCCGTGACGGGAGAAGATATAGGCGCCCAGCACTGTCTCTGAAGAGGCTGCAGGGGTGAAGATGGTGAGGGGCACAGTGAGAGCCAGCAGTGCCGACGAGGGTTGCATGGTTCGAGAGCGCATGGTGGGAGATCAGGTGAGGTTAATGGGGCTTTCATGCGATAGGCTTTGGAGATATGCTCTGGCGGAGATTCAATCAATGGTGAGTTTTGAGAATCTGAGAGAGTCGGGCAGAAGAGCGGCAGTCAAAAGAGCAGTTAATTCCAAAAGTTTCCTCCCACAGCTTGATGCTTCGCCTCGCGGTGAATATAGCCAACAGGTTTAAATAGCCTGTGGAATATCAGAGTATTATCACGTGATTTCAAACAAGGTCGGGGCTAAGGAAGATTTGAGGCAAGATAGGGTTTTTACCAAAGGGCGTAACAGATGAAGCAAGTTTAATATCCAAACCTTCGGGGAAGCAGGTAGGGATCGGCTGGGCCGGAACAGATAAAACTCAAACTCAATGGATAGTAGCATTATAATACACCAGTTTTTAGCTGACTATCGTAACCAGTTAACTATTTTAACTTGACTTACCATTCTATTTTCCGTCCAGGATGATCTAGTTATAAACTATGCTCTTGAAAGAAGCACGTCTTTTAACGATTAAACTAGTTATACCAGGAGTTTCCCCCCCCCCCACTTCTAACTTCGGGTTCATAGTGGATAGATAGTTAGTTCGGGTTTCCCACCCCCCACCTTTCCGTCCGGCCCCACGACGGACCAAAATTGGATTTAATTACTTCTAATACTTAATACTCAGCCCGCTGCAGTAAAATCTTTCAAAAGCAGTCAGGCTGCCTATTAAAAATTTAATCCGGCATGGCATTAAATAATGACTAAGTTATATTATCCAGATGTGACCACTATCATAATTCCATGGGCACTGTAACTCTCCGCGACCCCAGTTTCCCTGCTAACTCACATCCTCCCCTCACAACCCCTACCAACCCACCCGTCTGCACCATTTCCCCTCCCCCACTGGCTAGCCGCCACTCGATATCTGCAAGCCCTTCCATCCAAACTACCCGTGCTGCTGCAGGGACCTCAATCCGTTGCAACTCGGCCGATAGAGCCGTTAGGATGTCCGCTAACGCTAGGCCCTTGTTGGATTTCAATGATTGAATTGTGTTTAAGCATGATGTCACGTCGCTGGTTGTGAGAAGCGCAGTGATGATCGTTTTAATATCAGCCGGATGTGGCGCTGCGATGCAGGTGTAGATCGTCTCCTGTGAGACGGTTTCGTGTTCCGCAGTTGGCTGATCTTTCGGGGCGTTTTTAATCGGGAGCGGTATACCTGGAAACGTAAAACAATCTTTATAAGAAACAACATTTGATTGATTGATTGATTTAGATTTCAGTATGTATTTCTTGTCAACTTACTGCTCGCATGGCATGCCTGGAGCACGTTCAACGCCCTTCGCATGTCTCCCTTGCTCAACTCAACAAGGCTGTCAATTGCCTCTGGTTGTATGCGCACCTGCTCCTTCTCGATAACTTGGTTAACCAGTGCCCGGATGTCCTTTTCCTTTAGTGGACTAAACCTAAATCGTGTGCATCGTGACAGTAGGGCTGGTGAGAGTTTATGGGTATAGTTTGCGATGATACAGAATCGAGCGTTCGCGGTGTACTTTTCCATAATACGACGGAGTGCCATCTGCGCAGTAGCGGTCATGGCGTCTGCCTCGTCGAGGATGATTAGCTTGAAAGCCCCAAGGGATGACTCTGATTTGGCAACTGGAGCCACCGAGAATATTTGTTTGGTGCCTATGACAGAAGGTCACCCTTATTAGCCTCACACCATACCAAAATTGAAAAAAATAAAGATAAAAATAATGAGGCATTTTAAAACAGTGCCCATTTCCATGTACCCAGAAAATGTACAAGTAACTTTGGGGGACGAACTGGCAAAAGTTTTGATCTGGTCTCTAACAACGTCTATGCCTCTGTCGTCACTAGCATTTAGCTCGAGAACCATCTGTCGCATATTCTTCGCTCCGTATATCCGCCGCGCCAAAGCAAGTATGGTTGATGTTTTCCCAGTCCCTGGAGGACCATACAGAAGTAGATGAGGTAGTCTCTGTAAGAGAAATTAGACTGGTCAATTTCATGACATTGATTATTCATTGAGATGATGCTGGGCACCCACGTTTGAATCTATGAACGTGTTAATAGTACCAATGACGTCGTGGTGTCCGGAGACGTCTTCTAAGCTATTTGGGCGGTACTTTTCGACCCTTCCGAAGTATATACACCGTTAGCTCGTTGATTCATGGACAAAATTGTTCAAAAAAAAAAAAAAATATCACCATGGCATGTTATCCTCTGCTTCAACGGGCAGGTCTGCAGCTATTCGTTTTCCTCTTGCATTGGTGTTATTGGAGCTGAACTGAGCAGTATTCTTGGACGGCAGCGCATCCAAGTCCATTTCATCTTCGAAGTCTGACATCGTGGCAAGCGTATATAACTAATGGGCAACAAAGCAGTATCGATGTATGCTCCGGTGGTCTAGGAGAGTGCGGACATCTAATTGTGTGTATCTGATTATAAACCCGCTGTTTCACCTTAAAAAGATGTTAAATGTTGAATGAACTTTTGAAGTGTTGAGACCCCCCGCGCAGGATGTAGATGATTCGACCTCACTAAAAGGCTCGGCCCACCTCTTCACGTGACCTGACCCCCCATCTAAGTCAGACCAGACAACTCACAATATTACAGTAAATCATTTACCAACTACATAATTCTCAGCAAAACTAACGTAATTCCACACCGAGCGGGCCCACCTCACGGAGCAGACCACCAAAATCAGCACATCCTAACTGACTAGATTTTAATTCAAATATCTCCACACCACAACACTCAACTAAATTAAATTAAATTACATGTGATTGAGAACATCTTAATCTTGTGTGTGTGTGTGTGTGTTTTTATTTAACGCCCGGTTAGTCCACGTGCCTTAAGGGCACGTGATCTAGTAGAGTCCGCGTCGAACTATAGGGCGGGTAGAGCTACGCCCGTAGGCGACTACCTATCTAGTAGCTATCTTACAAATGAGGCAAAAATGGGTTGCGTATTGCTGCACCGGCAGAGCCCATGGGTCGGTTGCCATAGAGCAGAGGTTTTGAGAGGTTTTAGGTTTGTGGGAGGGAGGTAGGGGAGGCGGATAGGAAGGAAGGCAAGGAAGGAAAGAAAGGAGAGGAAAGAGAGGAAGGAGGAGGAGGTGGTGAGGAAGATGGGGGCAAGACAGAGGAGAGAATGGTCTGTGGGATCTGATCTGGAGGTGCGCGACGGCGCATTGGACAGATATTCTGATAGAAGGCTGTTTCTCTTAGCCAGTTATTGAATTCTAGGGCCCCACGCGAGGTTGCCAGTGTCTCATGGAGATTGTAGATAGGCCGGCGCCGCTTTGCTGCTTTTCTTGCAAGAGTGCAATAGTAGAAATGTTCTGGAGTTTTGCTATGTCCACACCGGCAGTAGCACTCTGCATCTTCATGCTTAAGGTGGCTGTGGTAGGCTGCAAAGTCTCCATGACCTGATCGGGCGGCATAGAGCTTTCCTAATGTGAAGCGTGAAAGTTTTACCTCTGTTGAGGCTCTCTTTAGTGGGATCTCCAGCTCCATATAGCGTTTGGGCTGATTTTTGGCCCAGTAGTTCTCAAAGGCCCGTGTGGTTTGTTCCATAGTGTGTCGCTTTATATAAGCTAGAGTGCCTATGCTGTCAGGTTGAGGTACCATGCTTGCACTTGCTGCCTGCGCTGCGGCTGCTTTGGCTTCAAGATCTGCCTTTTCATTACCAGCCACGCCTGCGTGGCCTGGGACCCATCTAATGACCACTCTGCTCTGGGTGGCCAATGGGAGCCTATCCCTGCTCTGCCAGGCCTTTATGGCTTTCAGAAACTGCGCGAAGACCTGCTGGCTAGAGGTGTTTGGCACAGATCCAAGGGCTCATGCTACCTCCAAATTGTCTAGGCAAATGTAGACGTTTCTGGCAAACTTCGCCTGAGGCGAGGTGGTGGCTTCCTTTAGGCCCTGCAGGGCTGCCATTGCCTCTGCGTCAAAGACCTCTGCTTTATCCATTGGCAGGTTTCCTGTGGAGATTAGACAGTGTTTGCTACCCCAGCATATAGCCCATCCTGCACCAGTCGCACGCTGAGGGTGCTCTATCTGTGAACCATCGGTAAAGACCACCAGATCCAGGGGATTGCATTGTTGTAGCCAGCTCTTAAAGTCTTGTGCTGCCTGTTCCTTTGTGCGGCCTGCCTCATACCCAATCTGCAGATCTTCTTTCCTGGGAAATCTCATCCAAGGGGGCGTGAGTAGAGGGTCATATGCTTCTATCCCACCAGCATGACTGGACGCTCTAGACAGACGTGTGGTATAGGGTTTGGTGGTAGCTACTTTATTAGAGCGTCTCACTAGCGGGTGCCTCTTGTCAAGCTTTTTGATTCTTACTGCAAATACAGCACGCCGGTTGTCTAGTGTCTCTTTCATTGGCATGATTCCTAGCTCACGGTGTAGAGCTGAAATGGGTGTGGTCTTGTAGACTGGCAGTGCCCCTCGCAAAGCATCTCTAAGGGCTAGATCTAGCTTTCTGACTAGGCAATCCATTCGATTGGAGATTTCCTTTCCCTTCTCCATTCGTGTGGCTCCAGGCCACCAGGCCTCTGCTCCATAGCAGAGCACAGAGAGCACACAGGCCTGAATGGATTGTCTAAGCAGTTGTACTGGGGCGCCTCTTGCTGTGTTGCTTAGTGCTCGTATGCCATTAGACACCTGTCGTGCCTTAGCCGCCATGGTCTCCACGTGTTTCTTGAAGCTCAGTTTTCTATCTAGCCAGATTCCTAGATATCTTATGGAGCTTTTCACTGCCTTTGCTGTAATAGAGTGAGTGCCAGATGTTGTTTCAAGGTCAATTGAGGGGTTTGAAAGGGTTCTGCGCCGTGTGAAGTGTGCTATCTCAGTTTTGGCAAAATCAAATGTCAGCCCTTCTTTGCTGGCCCAATCATTTAGCAACTTGAAATCCTCCTGGAGAGTAACAACATTCCCTTCAAGAGTGGTTCCAGCACTAAGCAGTCCTAGATCATCTGCATAGCCTAAGCGTGCACGTCTTCTTTGTATAGTTCCTAGAAAGAACAGAGGCTGAATAAACAGCATGAATAGAATAGGTGAGACTGGCGAGCCTTGTGGAAGCCCTGCTGGGATATCAAAGAGCTCTCCCAGGAGTCCATCCAATCTGATCCTGCCTGTGCGTCCTGTCATGAAGCTTTCCACCCATCTAATTAAATTTGGTGGCCAGCCTTGTTCTTGCAATCTCCGCAGCATCCTTCCTCTGAGTACAGCATCAAAAGCACCCTTGATGTCCAGAGTAAGAAGAGAGACTACTTTTCCATGGGCCCAGGCTTCCTCTATATCATGAACCATCGCTGCCACTAGGTCTGAGGCAGCCCGCCCAGGGAGGGCTCCAAAATGCTGGGGGTGGACAATCTTCTCTTGTATAGCTGTCCAGGCCAGCCTACAGGCTACCAGGCGTTCCAGTCCCTTCCCCAACGTTGAGAGAAGGGCTATAAGCCTGTAGGATCGCGGGAGTGTTGGATCTCTGTTGACCTTAGGCAGCACAACCAGTGTGGCATCTCGAAAGGAGGTTGGGTGCCAGCCAACCCTAAGGCAGGCTCTGAACAGCCTTTCCACTGATACCTTAATATGTGGCCATGCCTTTTGTAGCACCTCTGTTGGCACTCCATCAGTTCCTGGAGTGGTATTACCCGTGTTCAGCAGAGAACTTTGTATCTCATGTGCTGAGGCAACAGGAAAAGGTAATTTGACAGATGGTGGGTTGGACCAGCTGATTGGGATATCCTCTCTGCTTGCAGCCTTCTGTAAGAGCACCCGTTGCAGAAGGTCTCTTTTCTCTCTAGGGGTTGTTCGCGTTCGCCCAGTCTCTTCATCTACAAGAGGGGGGGAATGAAAGGAGCCAGTTGAATGGGCCCATTTGATCATCTTAAAGATATCTTTCCCCACTGAGGCCTCTGCTATCTTGCCTCGCCAGTATTCTCTCTTGGCTTTCCTGGTGGTCCTGGCTACGTTGCTTTTTGCTTCTCGTAAAAAACTAGAGCCTAGGTGCTGTGCACGATGTAGTGTTGTCACTGCTTTCTGGCAGTCCTCATTCCACCATGGCTGACCTGTGCCTTGCCCGGTGCTCTTCTTGGTGGAACTTTCCAGGGAAGCTATTAGTGCATCTGTGATACCTTTAGCCAGGGCATCCAGCTGATCTGTATTGGGGTACTCTGGGAAATCACATAGTTTGTCTAGTTTTGGCTTATAGGCCTCCAGCGTCTGGTTAAAGACCTTCTCATTCATGGTGTCGAGACGGAAAAAATGGGTTGGCCTGTCAGGCCTTGCGCCCTGTGGAAGGCTGATTTTGGTGAGAAGAGATCTTAATCTTGTATGTCTGAGAGTATTGCAATTGCTGCAATGTAATGAAGTTTGTACACATGATATAGACTTAGAAGATGTTAACTTATAAGTTAAATAACTCTTTGTTCAACAGGTGCAGCAGAGGAAATAATAAGATTCTGAGCTTCATTTCTAGTTAGATCTCCTGTATGTTGAATTTAATGTCTAGATCTTTTTCACTTTTACTTCTATATCTCATTTGCATTGAATATATTTTTATATTGCTTTCTTATAATAGTGATAATGATTATATTATATTTATAATTCTTAATAATTTGATCAAAATTCTATTAAGTCTTGAGACTACTGATATTTCTTCATAAAACTTTTAATCTTATTCATCTGCTTCTGCAATTACTGCAAATTACTAGATGTTTAAAGCACTCAGAATGATGTATTAAATCTATTAAATAATGATGTAAAGGTACAAAGTTGAAAATTTAACTACTAAATAATATAGTCAGACTAAAATAATACTGTTTCAGTAGTTCTGAAGTCATTTTGAATAGTCTGAACTTTGAAGACTTTCATATATACTATAGAATAAACATCTAAAAAGTCAAACTTTTTAATAATGTTGATTTTAATCTATATTTACTGTTGAACTAAGCTTTTACATATTTATTTTATAATTGTAAAAATACTCACATCTAGTAGCTGTAAAAGATTTGATAAATAAGATGATATATAAAGTATAATAATTCTATTATTTTTATAAATTTAATCAAATTCTGAGATAAGATAACTGTTGTATGTATTCAGAATAAAAAGAATTTAAGAGTTAATTTAATATAAATTTACTTCTGAAATAAATATCTGTATAAATTATTTAATATATATATCATCTATAGTTCAGTCATTAGAACTAACATCAAGTCTACAGTTTGTAGAAAAATCTTCAAATTACTTTTTCAGTAGATTCTAACCTTTAAAAATAATATATAATAATAAACTTTATTTTAATATATTAATTGAGTCAATTACAGTAATTCATTTT